GGTGGCTCAGTCAGTTGAGCACCTGACTTCGGCTCAGGTTATGATGTCACGGTTCGTGGGTTCAAGCCCCACGTGGGGCTCACTGATGTCAGCCTGGAGCCTGCCTCGGATCCTCTGTCCCCCTCTCTCTGTGCCCCTCCCCTGCTCTCTCGCACTCTATCAAAAATAAATAAACATTAAGGAAAAACAAATGAAAATCTGAAACGCGGGCCCGCGTTCCTTATGGAGGCTCCAGGGAGCATCCACTTCCCTGCCTCCCCCGGCTGCCAGAGGCCACCTGCTGTCTTTGGCCGGGAGCCCCCTTCCTCCGTCTTCAGAGCCAGCAGTGTGACATCTTCAGATCTTTCTCTGTGTCCCTTGCTTCTGCCAGCAGGTCACCTGTCTGACTCGGACCCTCCTGCCTCCCCCTTTGTCATATAAGGTGGCATTCGCAGGGCCCACGGGTTAGGATGGGACCGTCTCCCGGGGGCTATCACTCTGCCTCACGTGGGCGGCTTTCAACGTCATGGCCACACGTCCTCAGCGTTCAGTCTCTCCTTCAGTTCGAGACGGACATTGCAGACAGTTGGGGGCAGGCAAGTGAAGGGAAAGGCGTAGACACACAGTTGCTTCCCCTCTCCTCCCTTGGCCATCCCTCGCTGCAGGGGAGTCGGAGAAACTTCGTCCCTGGTCGAGGAGCTGTATGACAGCAAAACTCAGGAGTTTGTTCCCAGGGGCCCAGAGAGAGTGGGTGTCGGGGGATGGCCAGCAGCCGTTGCCACAAAGTTCCCGCAGGACAGGGATACTATTTGATCAAGGGTTTCCTGTTGTCGTAAAGGGGGGCGGGGGTGGGGAGAGGAGGGATACACATTTTGGCACAAGAACAAGGAAAAAGAATAGACTGGCAGGACCTGACCGGACCTTTTGGAGCTCCTCTGCTCCTTCCTCCTCCTTCCATGGAGAACTTGCACCCAGACACCTCAGGGAACTTTCTTCTTCTTACGAGTTGCCTTTTCCGCGAGTTCTTTAGTCAGAAGATTCCCCTTCATGTCGAACTTACTGCCTGATTTCATGTCCCACCTTTCTATCTAGAAACAGGACAATTATCCCTCACCTGTCTCTGCCTCTTTACCCGTCATCACCCCTGGGGGTACCTTCCACCTCCTCTTCCTGGCTCCAGAAGGGCCCCGCTATCCTGCAGTCATTTGCCACCTGATAGTTGAGTCCTGTCCCCTGGGGGAGAAGAGACAGTGGCCAGATGATGGTTGGAGATAAAAGGGAATTAACCCAGCCAGAGGCTGCCTGCAGTTCCACAGCAGGTGCACTCCTGCATGAATGAGGGCCCTGCCCGTCCTGATTAAGACATCAGAGCTCTGGGGGTGCCTGGGTGGTTCATTCGGTTGAGCGTCCAACTCTTGATTTCGGCTCAGGTCATGATCTCAGGGTCAGGGGATCAAGCCCTGCATCAGGCTCCGCACTGAGATTCCTTCTCTCCCTCGGCCCCTCTCCCCCACGCTCTCTCAAATAAGATTAGTTAATGAATTAAGACATCAGAGCTCCAGGACAGGAATAGCACATGCGTGATTCATTCAGCGTGAGGCGGGCACCGAGGGGTGTGCAGGGGGCCGTCCTTGTCAGGGCTGATGCTTTGCCGGAACTGGCTGTGCATCCCCCAGACACCTGTGTCCTGTCTCCCCACAGGGCCGGCGACCTGTCACCTTGATTGGCTTCAGCCTGGGAGCCAGAGTCATCTACTTCTGTCTGCAAGAGATGGCTCAGGAGAAAGGTGAGTTTGGCTTGTCACGGATGAAAACCCTTCCCCAGCTCATCCCCCAGGCAGGAGGTTCTGGGCCAGGGGTCACGAGCCTTGTGAATGTGTTCCCAATTCTTGGTGATAGTCGTTAAAAGTTAAAAATAGTTTGACAATAGACAAAAGGGCGAAGTCGTTTGGAAAATGGTTTGTTTTTTCTCTGTACGCAAATTCGAGCGGATGCGAGACGGTCCTACGATAATGGCATTGCCCTGGCGTTCTCATGTGCGTTCTTGAGTGGGAGCGAAGGGAGCCGGACGAGAAGTCTGAAATCGAGGCATCGGCAGGGCCACATTCCCTCGGAGGTTCTAGGGGATGATCCTTCTTTGTTGCTTCCGGCCTCTGGTGTGGCTGGCAGCCCTTGGCCCTCCCTGGCTTGTAGATGCGTCCCTGCCTTCTCTGCCTGAATCCTTACATCTTCTCCTTCCTATCTTCTCTTCCCTTCTCTTCTCTTCTCTTCTCTTCTCTTCTCTTCTCTTCTCTTCTCTTCTCTTCTCTTCTCAGGATAGTCTCATTGGATTTAGGGCCCACCCCCCCCTCAAAGCCAGCATGATCTCATCTCAGGATCCTGAACTTAATTACGTTTGCATAATTCGATTACATCTGAAGACGCCTTTTCCAAAGACGTTGTCATTCACGGGTGCCAGGTGGATGTATCTTTGGGAGCTAGCCTCCACAGACACCTTTGGGTGTGTGTCGTGCCGTCCAGGGACATACTTGGAATGCTGAGGCAGTGGAAAGCTTGAGTGCCATTGCTCCGGGCCTTGGGTGGGTGAGGTCTCCAGGACAGAGTGCTGGTTTGGGACAGCCCGTAGGGGATGGCTGGGGGAGTCGGGTGCAGAGCCCGGGGCGCTTGGAGTGGTCCACGGTCTGCGGGGCCCAGACTTAACGTCTCCTGGGGGAACACAGCAGCAGTAGGACCCTGGAGCAGGAGGAGGCACTGAGACGGTGACTCCTTGGCCTGGGAGCAGAGGGTGGCTGGCAGGGAGGGCCAGAGTTCCGCCCAGCGGTCTCACTGGGGGCTGCCTCGAATGCCTCTCTGGGCGTCAGCTCCCCAACTTCGAACGTGGAGTTCTCCTGCTCAGCCGCGTGCTTGTTCTGAGGTGCCCCACTTATCGTACAGTATTTCTGCAAATGGCAAAACCCACGGTTGACCAGATTCAGCTCAAGGTATGTCGCTTTGCAGCTTCTGATCTTCAGAGCTGCTGCCGGCCTGAGGCCAGCCCCGAAGGAGGCCCCTGGCCGCTCCCCAGCCGGCCCGTGTGTGTGAGAAGGGATTGCTGGCCGGTTGCCAGCAAGCAGGGAGGGGCGGGAATGCCCGCCGCTGGCCGGACCTGAGGGAGCCGGACGTGTCTGGCTGACCCGGGTTATTTGAAGTGCTGGCAGCCCCGGAGGGCCTGGGAGAGACCCTGGAGCTGAGGGGCATGACTCATTCCTGCTTCTTCTCTTTTGCTAAAATGGTCCCCCACCTTGGAGTGAGGACCAGAGCTATTTTCCCGGTTACACGGGCAAGGTGGATGTGCCGTCCTTGGCATTTACCGTGGAAGGGCCAAGCCCCTGTGTGTCAGGCCTGCAGATGAGCCTCGTGTCTTCTCTGTGTCATTTTGGAGGACCCCCCCACCCCCGCTCCCCTGTAGCTTTCAGCAGCCCCCGCACCCCCATCACCCAGTGTTGTCTGCATCACTAAACAATGAGGAGGTAGCTCTGTCCTATTTCCAAGAGCTTTGGGTAACCTGGGGCCACCATGCAGAAGGGCCTGGGGTGCCAGCTCGGAGCTGCGTTCACCAGGAAAATCCAGGCTGGGGTCAGAGGTCAGGCAAAAACCACGGAGGAAGCAGGGCTGAATCTGGGGCTCCGGTGAAAGTGAGTTTCCACTTACACCGTGGAGAACATTGTACTTTTCCTTTCTGTATAAATTCTTCCCCTACCCAGGCATCACCAGAGCAGAATGAGTCAAAAAGACATCCCTTACCTGCCTTTCCTGCTCTACCTGGTACAAATAATCCACCTGGGGGGCTCCTGGGGGGCTCAGTCAGTTAAACATCTGACTCTTGATCACAACTCAGGTCATGATCTCACAGGTGTGGATTGAGCCCCGCATCAGGCTCTGCACTGAGCGTGGAGCCTGCTTAAGATTCTCTCCCCTGGGGCGTCCGGGTGGCTCAGTCGGTTGAGTGTCCGACTTCGGCTCAGGCCATGATCTCCCGGTCCGTGAGTTCGAGCCCCGCATCGGGCTCTGTGCTGACAGCTCAGAGCCTGGCTCCCGCTTCCAATTCTGTGTCTCCCCCTCTCTCTGCCCCTCCACCACTCGTGCTCTGTCTCTCTCAAAAACTAAATAAACCTAAAAATAATTTTAAAAAAAATTTTTTTTTAAGATTCTCTCTCCCTCTCTCTCTGCTCCTCTCCCCCACTTTCTCTCTCTCTCAAAATAAATAAATAAGCATTTAAAAATATCATAATCTACCTGGGGCCTTCTGGCCTGCTAGGAAGAACCCCCTGGAGACCTTCTATGTCTCCCCGTCCTCAGCCCTTCACCTCTTGCAGTAAAGGGCTTCGTTGGCATACAGCAACACCGTCGACTCCTGCATAATGCCATATTCTGTATTCCTGCAGCGTTGTGCAAATGACAGAATCTCTCACGAAAATTGGGGGGATGGCATTTCTCATGCAGGACACACGACCTTTGTTACAAACGTGTGGGTCATAGAGAGGCAGGATGGGCGTAGCAGTCAGCTTTTGCTGTAGCGATGCTGCATAACAAGCCACCCCCTAAACTCCAAGGGCAATGACACCAAATGTTTTCCTGCTCAGGATCTGTGGGTTGGCTGTGGTTCGGCTGCTCTAGAACAGGCTCTGTTTCTGGCTGCGGGTTGGACAGGCTTGGCCCCAGGCTGCGGGCTGGGTCCACATCCGCTCCATGTGCATTTGTCCCGTTGAGGCTGAAGGGGAGCAGCCACCCAGGGCGTGTTCCTCCTTATGGTAGATCGCTAGAGCTCCGGATCCAAGGCCAGCCACATGTGCACATTTAGGATCTCTTTTCGTGCCGTGTTTGCTAACATTGTGTCCACTGTTTATTGCTGCAAACAACCTCTCTAAATGTAGTGGCTTAACACAGCAATAACTGGATAATTCTCACACTTCTGTGGGTTGACCAGGAAGTTCCTTTCCTCTTTGCACCTGGGCTCACTCATGCAGCTGCAGGCGCAGCTGGAAGGCTTGGAACGTCCAGGCCGACCTCCCCACTGACTGGTCGCGGGTGCTGGCGGTCACCCAGCATGCCTCAGTCCCTCCTGGCGGACTGCGCATCCTCCCGTAGGCTCACCTGACGTCCTTACATGGTGTTCTCCGGGCTGTGTCTCGAGGGGCGAGGGTGAAAGCTCCTCCATCAGTAATAACAGCACTCGTAGTGACTGCCGCGTAGTGCGCTCCCCTAACGTGCTCCGTGTTTCCGTCTGCCGGCCGCGGTTTTGACGCTCTTCCCGTCTCTTATCTCACGTGATCCTCCATAGCAGCCCCGTCAGGTCGATGCTGTTACGGTACCCATTTGGCAGATGAACAAACTGAAATACGGACCTCAGGTAACGTGCCCGAATCACACAGCCAGCTCATGGCAGAGCAGGCGGTCCAGCCGCGGGTTGCGTGACCTCGACCCCAAAGCCAGACCACCTCTCCAGGCCACCATTCCGTTCTTAGCCGAGCATCTTTCCCAGCACTGGCGTCACCGTTAACAACGGCCTGTCGACTCCTCTGTCCTGCCGGTCCGATAGTCACTGTGAGCTAGGAGCGCGTAGCACAACTCCCTGGGCAATTCTTTCCCCAAAGTATACGTGCCGGGGCCCTACGCGGCGGGGGTCAGTCACCCCCTGTGGTGGAAGCCGGTCCCCTGGCCAGGAACCATAGTGCAGGTGGGGACAGGGCATGCCGCTTCCTCGTCTTCCTCGTCACTGCATCCCGAGCCTGTGGCCAGCCTACGTCTGGCACGTAAAGGGACACGTGACAAGTGTACCACGCGAAGGAATGAGCCCCACCATGGGTCCGGGGCGGGGGTCTGCATGCCGGCCTCCCCCGCCTTGCGGGGATGAACCGTGTCGCGCTCAACTCTGCAATGCCAGGGCCGACTGTGGACGCTCACAGATTTCTGCAGGAAAAAGGGAGGCCTTTTTATGCTGGCAGCAAAGAGTCGTCCACGTTCTCTTTAGAAAACCTCTGCATTTTAAAAGAAGAAGCGAGGGTCGCCTGGGTGGCTCAGTCGGTTGAGCGTCCCACTTCAGCTCAGGTAAGTGATCACCATGATCGGTCCGTGATTTATCGTCCGGTACAATGCTTGGCAATACCGAGGCCTGGAGCTGTTTCAGGTGCATCCTCCCTCTCTCTCTGACCCTCCCCCACAGGCACTCTGTCTCTCTCTGCCTCTCAAAAATAAAACTAATAAAATAAAATAATAATAATAAAAAAAAAAAGCGGGAGCCACTAGGATGGAAGCCACCCTCTGAGTGTGAGGATTTAGGAGGAGTCGGAACAGAAACCCGTCGGTCCAAAGTGCACCTGGTTTGATCTCGCCTCTGCTCAAAAGGGAGAACTCACGGCCAGAAGACTCTGAAGAAGCCTTCATTCTTTTTTCTTTCTTTCTTTCTTTCTTTCTTTCTTTCTTTCTTTTTTTTTTTTTTTTTTTGAGAGAGACAGAAAAGAACACTGTAACGCGCCTGAAGTGGGGAAGTGAAAAGAAATCCCAAGCAGGCTCCGTGCCGTCAGCACAGAACCCGACTGCAGAACCGAACTCACGAACAATGAATCTGTTTCTAACCTAAGAATCGAATAACCCAACTGACTGAACCACCAGGTATGAACAAGTCTTCATTCTTGGTAGTTCTGATAGTTTCCCCCTCAGGTTGCTTCGCGTCCTGTCCCATCCTGTGTCTGGGCCGGGAGGTGAGAGAAGAGATCTGAGACCCTCTGCCTTGGCCCCAGTCGAACAC